AAAAGGTAACAGGGAAGAAAAGTCTATTATGTAAACTGTGCGTTCTTAGCTCAGAAACCGCGTCCTTTCTAGATTAAGGCCCAACCATAACAGCAGCAACCTTTAATAAGCAGTAGCAATAAAGATGGTTACCTTCCAGATGTTTCAGGAGTGCCCTGCTGCTATTCCCATGTGCAGATATCAGAATGGTTTTACCACTTAACACTTCAGGAGCAATCCTTTCATTCCAATAGGGAAGGAGTCTCTCCAGCACATCCTTTAGGCTTTCGGCTCGGGGCAGTCGATCCACAGGCACATCGCACACTTTATACCTCCGGTCGTTGTAGATCTCGTGGTAATAAGGATGGGTCTCGTCAATGGGCGGCGGGGTCACGTTATAGCTTCTTCTCCACAGCCTCACTTGTTCCTCGCCATGATTCAAAGCCATCTGCTCCCTGTTGAGACCGATCAGGGCTCCGTAGTGACGCTCATTTAGACGCCAGGAGCTTTCTACAGGAACCCACTCCTGCCCCAGCTCTTCCAGGATCAGCCAGGCTGTGTGGATGGAGCGATTAAGGATGGATGTGAATACAAGATCAAACTCGAAGTTCAGCGCTTTGAGTTGCTTCCCACAGTTCCGAGCTTCCTCCAATCCATCATTGTTGAGTTTCTGATCCACCCAGCTACAGAAACGATTCTCTTTATTCCAAGCACCCTCTCCGTGCCTTAACATAATCAGTTTATACTTAGACATCCTGACAGCGGAGCTTCCTTAGTGCTTTCAAATAGGCCAGTGTTCAGTGACAGCAATATATCTAGAAAGAGGTGAAACAAAGTCTTAAGTTATAATCTTCATTCGACTGACTACCTGGGAGTGGAAGCACAACTTTACAACAGCCTGTTTCTAAAATAAACCAGAATCATTCCTTGAACAGTTTTGATATCAGACATCTGGCAACTCACACACACTATAGCACACAGGAGCAGAGTCTACAGAAAATTAATTACAGGGGAACCTAGTTGACTTAAATTTTCTGATGGCTGGATAGGTTAATTGTATGACACAAAACAACAGGACACTTCATTCTAAAGGTATGCTGCACTTCCACCAGATAAAAAGGCAGTTTCTGCTTAGAGAAGAAAGGATTTAATTGAATGAGTTGTGAATGTCTAAAAGGATGACTAGTAGCTGGTAACTCCCAGCTCTTACCAGCTGACTTGAGATTGAAGGCATCCTTCTCACCTTGCTTTTCCTCTGGTGGAGGAATAAATATTTACCAGTCTCACCTTAGTATAGAAATTATTAAACATGTGAATTCAATAAACAACCACGTTCAGCTGGTTGATCATTGATTGGTGGCAACTAGCTCTCCAGTGCCACAGGCTATACCACACATAAGAAAAATCTAAGGTTCAACATTTGAACAAAGAGATTTAAATCGACATTAACACTCAATATGGTACTCACCTGCCTCAAGATAGAGTTTTTGGCAGGAATAAATCCGGATGCAAACAAGCTATCAAATTAAGCAGCTGAGAGATGCCGCCTGTAGAAACAGATTACCAGGAGCTGAAGGAGCTAGAGGAGGTACACTGATAACGGGGTTCTGTCTCCTCCTCCCAGCCCTTCAGCTGTCCTACACATGCAGCCTCATCTCAGCAGAGAAGGCTCTAGTAAAGGGGGGCAGGCAATCCTAAAGTGCTTCTGAACTCCCTCAGTTAAGCCACTGGCCCAGAGATCTGTGGGGCCACTCTGTCCCCTGGAGAATCTGCAGCCTGGCTGCATGGGCCTGGCTCGCTCTCCTTGCAGTGGACAGAGATCTACGCTGACAAGTGCTGCTTGTTTACGAGCCCAGCACTTTTCACCTCCAGTCCAGCGCTTTCTACGCTGGTGAGTACAGATTATGGGAACATCAGGGCCTGGTCTCCTGCCACTCTTGACAACTCCCATTAACCAGAGATTTTCTGTCCACTTAAACTGTGATTCACCTTCAGTTATATAACAATCAGTGACAAAGTTAATTGGAATCTAGATCTAGTTACTTCCTTTCTTTAGTAATTCCTAGAAATTCTGGGGAGCAGGGTGGGGGGAAGTCTTTAAAATAAGGCCTCCTATTTCGGTGGAGGGCCAACAGAGGACCCGAGAGAGGGAGTAGATTGAGCTGATTTGCAAGTGGTTGAAAGGCTACAATGGTTCGGTTTATGACTTCCCTTTCTCGTCAGGCATCAGGTGTGATGCTTTATTTAGTGCACGTGGAGCAGGGAAGCATCAGGTCACTAGAAGTGCCTGGGCTCAGGGCTCAGGTGAAGGTATCTTGCAGAGTTGAGAACTTCCAGAGGCAAAGGGATGCCTCCACCCTCAGCCCAGATGGGGCATCAAGTGGCAGAAGAACAGAGAATGGGATGAAAGACTACTGGGCTGTGTTTTCCTAGGCGATTACTGTTGCCCACAAGTGGAATAATCATGAAACTAATGAAGTTCAAGCTTCAGGGCCCCTCACCTGAATAGATCCCTTCTGAGATGCTGGGAGAGACCAAATGATGAATTCACATGGATGTGAGAGAGAGAGGGAGAGAGAGGGAGAGGGAAAGAGGGAGACAGGGAGGGAGGGAGGGAGGGAGGGAGGGAGGGAGTGTGTGTGTGTGTGTGTGTGTGTGTGTGTGTGTGTGTGTGTGTGTGTGTGTGTGTGTATTTAATCAGCAAAAGACATTTCTGTATTGTTTTTTCAAAGAGCCCGCCCCAATCCACCAAGAAGTAGAACCTTTAGGCCCATCAAAAACTGGATGCAGCCCCATGCAACATCTACTGTTTTGGTTTTGGTGGTGGTGGAGGAGGGGGATGAAGAAAAGAGAAGCTATCAGTTGTTCCTCTACCTCAGCCCTTACTGTGTCTTAACAAGCAAGACACTCTTTACACTATACAAAGCTATTTTCCCTTCAAATGAAGAAGCTATGATGGACAGATACTGTAGGCAGAGACCCTTCATCTTCTTTTGATTATGAACTATATGGAGGGGAAAAAACGTGTAGCAATAACATCACGAATCCTTGGGTGCCTATCACCCAGCTTTGCAGTATTTAACCTGCTATATTTGCTTATTTGTTTAAGAAATAAAGCATTTTGTTTTTACCACGTGTGTATACACACACACACACACACACACACACACACACTGGAGCAGAGAAACAATCCTACAGCCACAAAGACTCTACAAATACACACCCTTCCCTCACTCTGGAGTACAGAGGACTAATACAGGAAAGGTACCAAACTAGTGCATCTGTCTCAGGTCAACAGAAAGTCACTTCCCTCTCTTCTCCTTGCTAGCAACTGACTTTTCCCATTTAATTAACTGTGGGATATTTACAAAGGAGCTCTTGCAGTTTACAGTTTGCCATCTTTATGATTTTAATCATTGTGGAAGCTGGTATAACAAGTGTTTATGAAACACACAGTGCTTTCATTTAAAGCTTAAGGCAGGGGCTGCAGATCTCTGAGGTGCAGTGCCACTGGGCTACAGAGGGGGTGGGAACACTGGTGAACTGCAGGGAACATACATGCTTTCCCAATGGATGCAACTGGTGTACATGGATGAAGCTTTTGTATAATCTAGCGTCGCTGAGTACAGACCATTCTTAGATCTTTTCTGGAGAACAGAGAGGTGTTGGGACTGCTGAAACTGAAGACAGGAGAGGATGCAAGACTTAGAGTCAGACCACAGAGAACCTATGGATTCTGTTTTGTTTTTAGAGTAAATAAATGTCTTTTTTTAAAAAAGTGATCATTTCAGCTCCTAAAAGCTCATATAAAAAAATAAAAGGAGTAACTGCTACTAAGTTCCAGCCCATTACTCTGTGATACTGATGAACTGGGGTTCTCAGGTCTTCCAATCCTCAAAAAAACTGGAAATGTGAATTTTTGTGATATCCCATATAAATACTAGCAACTAATTTGAATACATTTTAAAAATGTGAGTTAAACCAGACATGTCTGCTAGTGTGTGACCTATGACTTAAAGGAAAAGCTCCTCTGGGCCACAGGTACATGGGGAGCCTGTCCCCCACCCCACCTCCCCCAGGAGCTGTCGGACGCCGAGCCTCCAGGCTCTAACCCCAGACTTCCTGTGATGTTGTCCAGCACACTCTTGCAAAGGACAGACCCTTTAATCCCCATAGGTGCCAGACTTCCTTGTCCCTGATCTCCCTTCACCGAACTTTTGCCGGTGCCCTGCAGAGTCCCTGCTCTGTAATCAAACTCCAACTCAACTTTGGACTCTTCTGGAATGTTTCCTCCAGCTCTCAGCTTTAACCAAGCTGAAAATGAACTGAACACAAAACCATTCCCAGGTGTCTGCTTCTCCCTTTAGTGGGGGTGTTCATGCCTCACCTCCTGGGGCAGAGGCAGCTGATGGGCAGGGTCCTGCCCCCTCTCAGTAGTATTTCCTGACCAAATGCCTCCACCCCCACCATCTCTGGGGCAGGTGGTTGGGAGCTTTGGTTCTGAGAGTCTTGCGATATTCAGCTGCAGCCCTCTTGCTCTCATTTATTAGCTACAAACTTCCTGAAAACTGAGTACTCTACTTAAAACCCTCAAATTATTTTCTGTTGATCTTAGGACACTGTTCAAAATTCTTAATGTGTCCTGCAAGGCTTCAGTTTTCTTGTTTCCTTGCACATGTCGTATTCTTTCTGGACTCAAGACAGAAGCCTTGCCCGTCACCCCTCCCCTCCACTGCCACTTCAGTCCCACCCTGCTTTGGGGAACCACTAGTTATCCTTTAGACCAGCTGTGTCTAAGCCAAATGTAAAGCCAGCCACATATGTAATTTTAAAGACTGTAAAAGCCATATTAAGAAGCAAGAACAGGTGAAACTTTTATTATACATTTTATTTAACCCTGTAGGTATCATTCCAACATATGATCTATAGAAAATTCTCAATGAGGTATTCTACCTTCTTTTTTCCTTAGTAAGCCTTTGAAACCTGATGTGTATTTTACACTTAAAGCACATCTCAATTTGGACTAACCATATTTTGAGGGCTCAATAGCCATATAACACCTGTGGCTACTATTCTGAATGGTGCAGCTTCAGAGCTTAGCTTAAATGTTATTTCCTCTAAGCTAGTGGTTCTCAAACTCTAACGTGAATCAGAATCACCAAGAGAACTGGTTAAAGCAGATTTGCTGGGTCCCACTTCCAGAGCCTGAATGAGTAGGTCTGGGGCAGGCCTGAGAATCTGCATTTCTAACAAGCTTCCAGGTGACACTGATGTTGCTGGTTTGAGGACAATGCTTTGAGAGCCTCTGTGGACATCTCTGCCCTTCCTTCTCACCCACTGGGAAGTGGTCAGGTGCCTCCATAGCACCCTGCTTCACGACACTGGGTGCTGTTGTGATGGGTCACTCATGACAGATGGCCAGCTCAACATCCGTGTGCCCTGTTAGGCTGTCAGCTGCATCATGGCTGGTCTGACTCACTGCCCCATCTCTAGAATCCAGCATGGCACTTGACACTTACTAGGTACTTAGTAGGTGTGTTGACAGAATCAAAGTTGGCAAAAATTATTAGATTGTGTTTATACGGCTGAGGCTTGACAGTTTTGGTGGTAATTGCCAAAGCAAAAACAGTCAGTTGGCAGACCTGAGAAGTCAGGAAGCTTTAACTCAAGAATCCCAGTGTATCTGATGGCAAAGTCAGAGCCAAGATAATCATCCATTATAGTTTTGTATCTGTTGTATCTGTTACAATTCAAGATGTTCATGAATGGCCACAATTATCTCCACAGGGAACAGAGAGACTCCGACTGACTTGTC